GAAGTGTGGTTTAGCTCAGTTGTTAAAGCACTTGCTTGGGCAAACTCAGTTAGGCATGGGGGCCTGTGGTTTGATCCCCAACATCGCAAGCCACACCAGACCCACTCTTAAGGCAGCCTGAGTTAGACAAAAAAAAAAAAGTTCTCCAATTTTGGGCCAGGGAAATAGCTCAGTAGAATAAGCACCTGGCTGGCAAATGCAAGGTCCTGAGCTCAATCCTTGGTGCCACAGTAAAAAAAAAAAAAAAAAAAAAAAAGAATCTGAAGGGTACAGTGGACACTGGTAAAAGGGCATGAATTTATTCAAAAGGAAAGAGTTTTGAGTTAAGGAGAAGGACACGAGAGGGAATGGGGAAAAGATATATTTCTATGTATGTAACCAGGAGTGTTTGAACAACTGTATTGTGGAATTCTGCTGGTTTATGGAAAGAAGCAGTTAATGTTTTTGTTTTATTTGCTGTTTTCAATTGTTTGTACTTTTTCTCTTCTTAATTTCTTATAAATTTCTTTTTTTTCCTTCTTCCAATTTTACATGCATATATCTGGTAATATGATTTGGAAGACAACACTATGTATTTCAACAAATCCTGTGAAATTCATATTACTTTGTTAAGTGAAAATATGTAACACTTGTAATTTTTCCTGTTTTAATTCTAATTTTGTACTCTTTAAAAAATCATTCTAATAGAACATGTGACAAAAACCACATGATCATCTAAGAAAAAGCATCTGACAAAGTCCAACACTGATTTATGATAAAAAACCCTATAGAAAATTAGAATATATTGTCTTTCTCTCAGTGCATGACTTCTTGATGACTGTCATTCTTCCTGGTATAAGATGTGATTGTTTAGTCTTCATTTCTGTAATATACTGAAGTACTGACACTTTGTCATAGTTTTGTTTGCCATTTTTATTTCTTCTGAGAAGTCTGTATTCATTTCACTTGCCCATTTTTTAGGTGATCTAATTATTTTATGTTCTTTATATACTCTAGAAATTACTCTGTTGTCTAAGGAATAGCTGGAAAAAATTATTTTTCATCCTGTCAATTGTTTCTCTGCTGTACTAATTGATTGTTGTGTAGAAGATTTTTAATTTGATATTATCCTGTTCATTATTGGTTTTATTTTTTGTGCAAATGGAATTTTGTTCAGAAAGTCCTTGCCTGCATCTATGACTTCAACTGTTTTATCTATTTCATCTTCCAGTAGGTTCATGTTTCTCTTTTAGTGTTTATATTTTTGATTCATTTTCATTTTAGTACATAGTGCAAGAAATAAATCCAGCTTTAACCTTTTGTATATAGATAGCTGGTTTCTCCACCACTGTTTGTTAAATAGTAATATATCTTTCCTCAAATATGTTTTTGCTCCCTCTGTCAAAGCTGTTTCTGTATCCTATATTCTATGTCATTATACACATCTGTTCTAGTACAATGCAGTTTTTATTACTTTTTCTTTGGAGTATAGGTTAAAGTCAGATTTTATGCTGTGTCTTGCTTTACTCATGTTAACCATTATTGCATTCGCTATTCTAGGACTTTTTTGGATTCACATGAATTTTAGAATTGTTTTCTCCAGCTTGTGAAGAATTATCCTGGTACTTTCATTAGGATTGTGTTTAATCTGTATGACAGCATTTTAATATGGCCATGTTATTAATTTTAGCTCTGCCAAGCAAGGAGCTGTGGACATCATTCCATTTTCTCTTGAAGATGTACTCTTCAATTTCCCTTTTTAGGTGCTATGGCTTTCTTTGTAGAGGACTTTTATTTCCTTAGTTAAGTTAATTCTTGGGTATTTAACTTTTCTTTATGCTATTGTACTGCTTTCATAATTTCCTACTGAGGTCATTATTAGTATATAAAAATGCTGTTGATATTTTGTGTGATTTTTTTTTTCGGAACCAGGGATTGAACTCAAGCCCTTGTGCTTGCCAGGGAAGTGCTTATTCCACTGAGCCATCTCCCCAGCCCTTTGTGTTGATTTTGTATACTGCTACATTGAAGTTGGTTATTAATGCAAAGACTTTTGGGTGGAATTCTTTGGTCTTCTACATATAATATCATGTCATCTGCACATAATGATAATTTGAATTTCTCTTTTCCTATATGTATCCCTTTTATTCCTTCTTCCCTTATTGCTCCAGCTAACATTTCAATTACCTTGCTGAACAGAAGTGGTGATAGTGAGCATCATTGTCTTGGTCTTATTGTACAAGGAATTCTTTCAGTTTTTCCCCATTTAATATGATATTGGCTACTGGTTTGTCATAAGCCTTTATGAAACTGAAGCATGGTTCTTTCATACTTATTTCCTTCAAGGTTCTTATCATGAAGCAGTGTTGGATTTTGTCAACAGCTTTTTCTGCATCTATTGATATACTCATGCAGTTTTGTCCATGTTTCTGTTTATATGATGTATTATGTTTACTGATTTGCATATGTTGAGCCATCCTTGGAACTCTGGAATGTAACATACTTAGTTATGATGTATGATCTTCTTGTTGATGTGTTGCATTCTATAAGCTCGTCTTTTGCGCTTAAGAGTAGAAAAATTTATTGGAGAAAAGGAAGGTGAAATAAGAATGGGAGGAAACGAAGAACAGGTATAGCTCTTGAAAGACAGGAGGGAACCTGAGTGGGTTGCCAGTGAGCCCATCTCTCAAAGGAAGTTTTATAGAGAAAGATTATGAGGTGGTACATGGTTCAAATTTATGATCAACCAAAAAGATTGCAAGCACCGTCACTTAGATCATGTATTGATCTAATGAATTTTAGGACTATTTACCTAAAGACACATGGCTGACATCATTAATCAAGATGGAA